TATTTTAATATCAATTTAACATTAAATTAGATTCCAACAGATTATTTCATAATTTTCTTAAAAAAAATTACGTCTTGGTAAAATTGAGATTAAAATTATGTAAGCAAATATTATTTAATCAACTACTCTTTCAATCCAATACTTTACCATTTAAGTTTTATTTGGAAACTCTATTAGAGTAATGGGGGATATAAGCAAGATGAAATTCAAAAGAAAATAAAATATAGTTTAACATAATTTTTTTGAAATATGGAGAAGTTTATAATAATAAATCTTAATTCGTATGAACTGAAAAAATTTATAAATACATATCTAACCTTATTAAATGCAGTTTTTTACTATATTTTTTTCTTAGATTTTGACTTGATATATTGATTAAAAATGTGAATGAATGTATATTTATTTTACTCTTATACTAGAATAAATTTGTATAAAAATTCAAACTATTGGTAAGATTATTTAAAGCTTCTCTAATCCTTAAACTACTAAAACTGATATTTAGCATATGATCAAATATTTATAAATCTTAGTTAAAACTAATTAGATGGTTTATAAATATATCAAAATACTACTATTAAATTTTATAATGATAGATATGAAAATTTCTATATTTTTTCATAATTGACTAAATATTATTATTGAGTTTTAAACAATAATCTTATTTTTATGTTCAAATATAATAAAAATTATTTATAGAATTACTAAAAAACAATTTATTATTATTAACACAGCATAATCGTATAAATTAAAGAATAAAAAAATAATTATAAATAGCATTTATGCATCATTCACCTTTCATAATATTTTCTAATCTGAATCTTTTTTTCACTTTCTTCCCAAGTTATTAAATATTTTCCATCTTAACTCATACATCCAAAAAAAAATGAATTTCCAAATTCAATTAATTATTCTGTAATAAACTCACCATTTTCCTTTATCCTTATCAAATTCAAATACTTTCCATTCCTATTTACAAGTAAGCCTTTTGATTTAATGTATTATTGAGGGAAAAACCAGTAGTCATCCATTCCACCCTTAACAAGAACATCTTTTGTCTTGATATACTATTTTTTGGTATTATTCATTTCATAAACATGTATTTATTCCTTTTATCTTGGTTAGAAAGTGAATTTATTACTATTTATAAAGGTTATTCGATAACCATATGCTTCAACCTTTATCTTTTAGATTACAATCCATTTAGAATCCTTTTATGATTGTTCTATTATTAATATTTATTAATCATTTCCACCTGAAATTACTTAATTTTATTGTTAATTTATACTTAATGTCCATACATATCCAGTATGATCTGTAATAGTTTATTAACATAACCACTTATTTTACTTCTACGTCCAAAATTTAATTGTTTTATCCTGACCTCCTGAAATGATCAAGTCTTCATTATCATTCAAAATTTAACAAAATATCCAATCATTATGTCCAATTAATTTCTATAACAAAATCCATTTATTGCTTTAATTCATAGACCATAAAAAAATATTATTATCATCACTTCCAGATTTAAATTGATTAGATTTTTTCATAAAGTTTAAAGCGTTTACATCGCCTTAATGTTCCTTAAGGTTTTAAGTTTGTTCTAACTTATCTTATTTTAATTAATATACTATAATTTCTTTTTTGCATCCAACTATTACAATTGAAAAATCATTATTAATAGCTATTGCATAACAATAATTATCTTATTTAATTGAATGATTATTTATCTTTTCATAAATAAATTGGTTTGTAATTGAGGAAGAAGATGGTTGAAGAATAGATTATTATGTTTCAGTTTATGTCTCATATTATATCTATTAATCTTTGGTATTGATTGTTTCTTTCAATAATATTTTTTCATTCTCATAGTTTTAATTTAATTATGAATAATTATTACTAAGTTTATCTAATTCTTAATTATGATATACCTTATCCTTTTTTACTTGATCGTTAAGATTCATCTTTATTAATGATGAAACTTCATCAATAGCTTAATTACTAAATTATTGATTTTGAATGCCTGGTGATAACAACTAAGGTAATGTATTATTTTATTCAAAGCTACTTTATTATTCTTTAAATAATTGTTAATTATCATTATCATTAATCATATAATAATTAAATGATGATAATTTGAGTTATTCATACAAAATATTAAATTAATGAGTAATTTTCTTAGTATAATCTGATATGATTGCTGTGATTGATTGTTTGTATTCAATTAAATTTACAGTTGAATTCAAGTAATCATTCAGTTATTACGAATTCAGATTTACTAATTATTCATTTTATAATGAATATTTTTATCTAATTCCACATTTTAATTAAGTAAATGATTGATTCATACTTTCTATATATGTACTAAGATGATTAATTAAATTATCACATGCTTGATTTTAATTTTTAATGAATTCCATCAAAGTTTTGAATTTTTCTACATCATCAATATGATCAAGATGGATTTTTCCCTTTTTTAAACATTTAAAGCAATTTAATCGGAATTCTGTACAATTTTAATTATAACAAATCATTACTATTTTGTCTTTATGATCATCTATTAAGCATTCTAGCTATAAATTCAATTTCTAAATCATTTTTAATATTGTATCTCTAATTAATATTCATTTATGACTTTAATTAAAGTAAATTCTATTATTTATATTCTACAAATATTATATTAAAAAATTTACACTTAAAGGAATACATCAATAAATTAACTATTTTTTATGAATTAAAAGATAAAAGTAATTTAATATCATTTTTAAATCAATATCTAAATTCTTGACTACATAATATCTTTTTATAGGTCATTATATACTTCAACTTAGAAAATGAATATATCAGTTTTTTAATTATAATTTTAAGGATGAAGATTGAAACAATTACTAATTTTCTTTAAGATCTATTTTTATCGTTAATTTCATATATCTAATAAATTTGTTCGAAAGCCTTATTTAGATAAGTTATCAAATTTATTTATCAAGATTATAAAATAAGGATTATCAAATTTATTTAAATTAATCTATAAAATTTTAATCATTAAGATTCTGTAACTTATTTTTTATATCAACTTTACTCATAAATTTCAAAGATGCTTAATTGATATTCTTTTAATTTATAATATTAATTTTATTACTTGTTATTTAATATTGATTATCACAGAAAAATGATATTTGATTAGGAGAATGAATTAACTATAATAAGATTAAATTATATGAATACTCTGATTAAAATTTATCTTATAAAATATCAATTTATTAGAGCTCTAATATTTTGAAAATACATAAAGATGATTAAATATTAAGTATTTTTGGAATGCTTTAGTCAATATAAAACTAAATATATAGATTATATTAATGAGTAATAAGCTTAGATTTAAATTTACATTTTATAAAGAAAAAATTGAGTTATAAAATTGTCAATATTAATGCCCTATAATGAATTTTGTATCAAACAATATTATTACTAATTTAATAATTAGATTGGTGATATATTTTTTTTAATATGATTATTAAGAAGATCAATTTTAATATATAAAAGTGAGATAAGAATGAGCAAAAGTAAGAAAAGGGAATTATAATACAGACTAGACAAAAGATTAATAGTCCAAACTAATCTTATTACCTAAAATCTAAAATCAGATTTTTAGAAAGATTAAGATAATAATTTGAAAGATTTTTCAAAAAATTGTAAAAATAAATATAAATATCTGATGAACTCAATCCTAATTGTGTAAGATCTAAATATAGATATTGTTACAATTATATACATTGATTATTTAGAAAATAATAGAATTCTAGAATGGTAACAATTTTTAGAAATACTAATAATATCAATTTTAATTTATAGTAATATAAGTGCTTTTACTGACTCTGAATGTTATGAGTGTAGATGAGTAATTTATATTTTCAAAATGATACATTTTCTATCGAATGGTCTGTTAAGAATTTATATTTATTATATAATGTATAATTGTTATATACTTAATTATATAATCCTTCATTAATTTTTTTTCAATATTTTATAAATTCTGAGTGATTACAATTTATGTTATTATCATATAAATTGAAATTGTCATAATTTCTTTGTAAATTTCAAGATAAAACCATTTTTCTAAATTTTAATTTCCATGACTACACTATTAAGTAATGTGTATTTGTGTATTAATTTCTGTAATTTATTATCTAAAAGTTTAAAAATAAATTATTAAATTAAATACAAAATACTCAATAGGTTTGGAATAAATTAAGAATAATTGTATTTGTACTTAAAGTAATAAAATTCTAACATATATTTATATCAATCAAATAAAACAATAGGCACAAATATTCCATAATAGGCAGCCAAAGTGCCTCTAAGTACTTAATCTTTACTTAAATTAAACTAATTATTTATTTTATAAACTTACTCTTCCTAGTTGAATTTATTTTAAGACATTTATCAATAAACATGTATATGGTAATATGATTACTAAACTAATTATATATTAAATTTAAATAATAGCAAAAGGTAATACACACAAAAATTCAAAAAAGAAAACCCCTATCAAATTTAAATTGAAAAACTTACTAAAATATCTGAATTACTTAGTTTCTATTAATACATACATTAACAAAATGATTGTAACCATAAAATTAGAGAATAATGGAATAATTAATAATAATCCAGCAATAAAAGCACCTAATATATTCTAAATATCTTTCATTACCTGACATTTCAATACTAGGATCTGTAGAAAAGGAAGCAATAATAAAAAAGAATGTTAATGTATATGCAATTATAGATCCAAAATATATTAGAAATGTCAATTCTGTCTAATAAATATATTGAGATTAATTACTTATCTAAACTTTTCCATAGACCCTATTTTTACTAGAAAAATCAAAATAATAACACTTGCAGCAAAACAATAAGGATAGGCATTTTAATGTTCATATAGATTTCTTCCAAACAAAATCATCATTATAAAAAAGATTAAGACAAATAGAAATGTCCAAAATATGAACATTCCTAAAATACTACTTAAAAAGAACTTTTAAGTTAAGAAATCTGAATCTTTCAATAAATATGAATTGGTAGATTAAGGTAGTTGATCGAGGTTGTAATAGTTTTGTTAAGTATTTATTTATTTTGAATAAGGGAGTGATACTAATTATTATTATTGTAAATTAAGATTATATTGTGGCTAAACTGGTAAATATTTAATATCCTATTTAGTATTTTGGATTAATTATTGCTATAGATTTTCTAATTAGTTTGAAGATTAAATATCAAATTATGGATATTTAACTTATTACATTATTTATTAATAAAAAATGAATATTCATTATTAATTTTATTGATCATTATTAACACAATATAGAATGTTTTCTATACTATTAATAACCATTCAATTATGATTAAATATATTATTATTAATAATAAAATGAATATAATATATTATCGATCATAATTAATCTAATCTATTATAATATTAATCTAAATGAAATATATATTTTCTTTTAACATTATATTCCACGATTTATTTCACCTGACTCTTCTTTCTCATCTTGATTAATAAAGTCATATAATGAAAAATTATAACCAAGCTTTATTTACAGAAGAGTAGATTATCTTTATTTTTGATTTCTATAATTATTTAGTAATAACCCCTTTTCTGTCAATAAGGCAATAATTGGATAGACGATGACACTCGTTTTTTCTATTCTTTATAAATATGTTAATGTAAAATAGGAGGAATCAAGAACAAAGAGCATTTGAATGAATGGAAGGAAGTACTATGATGTTGTAATTTATTTAAAAGAGAATCATTTCAAATCATGTAATAACATGAAGCCATCAAGAAGCAAAAATTTAAGATTGAAAATTAATCTTGATTTTTTAATATTTTATCTTCCAAAACTACTTCTTGTAAGACTTTTTTTTATTTACGCTAATTTACTTATCTTCTGAGACTTTAAGCTTAGTATTAAGTTGAAATATCGATAAGATCATGATTAATATTCAAACAAATAAAAACTATTATACAAAAAAGAATAATAGAAATGTAAATGAATAATAATAAATTTTGGGATATAATTGTATTATTCTCTCCAATATCCATACCTTCTTTTAATTTCCATAAATTTTAGTGAAATAAATGATAGTTGTAGATTTCTTTGTGATGTAATCATGTCTTTTTTCTATTCTTCACGATCAAGCAATTCATTTATGCTTCGAATTGTTAAAAAATAGCTATTTTTGTAAATTCTTCAAAAGAGAAATCTTAAATAATACACTTGTTATTATTACAAAAGAAAAAAATATTTGTGTTTTTTTTGATTGAGACAATATATATTTTGAATAATAGGAAATATATATAATGAATCATTGAAAGGTAGTAATTTTGATTGGTCTATTCATTAATTTCATTAATGGACTAGTGTAGAAATCTCTTTAAGTTATTCCAAACTTTTTCAATCTGATTTAACAATCAAAATATTTGTTATCTTCTAAATATCCACCATTTTTATTATTATTTCATTTAATGCCACAATGCTATTTAATCAATATATAAGAATTAAGCCTTCCTAATACTAAAACTTAAAAATGTGCAGGAGTATTTAAATCGTTATTCCATACTTGTATAATTTGAGCTCCCTATATCTTTGTTATAGGGAATTCTATAGGATGCAGAACATTATTTCTTTAAAATCAACTAAAAATGTCTTAAATTTACTGCTTGAGGAGCTAATTAAAAATTCCTAAATAATGGTTTGGAATATCTTATTGCAAATTTTAGTTCAAATCGAGATATCTGACTTATTTTGGAGTCAGCTATAGCATTATTTGAGTAATCTTTTAATCTTAGACTTCTGACAGCTTATCTTAATTTTGTGACTAATTCCTAATTGCATTCTTTTTTATATACTCGATGCTTTATTTTTATTCTCCAGCATTTTCTCTTTTAAATCAATAAGTTTTTGCTTTTGTATAAAAATCTCAACTCTTTTTAACATTCCTCAATATTGTGATTTTACATTTATTCTTTCTCTTGATAAAATACCTTTATATGAGATTTTTGAAATAATTTGAATTATTGACATTGAATAGAGCATTGAGAATGTCGTTAATTTATTTATTAGATTTCCAGTTATTTTTTCATCATTTTACTTTGAACCTTCACTAGGTTCGAATTATTATTTTGCTACATCTATAAATATTTAGAGGATTCAAATTTTAATTATCAGAGAAGAAATGAAACAATATGGAAGCAAGTATAATTGCATTAATCATTTTTGCAGAATAATTATTATTTTTGATAATAACTGATCTATGATAAATGTATAAACTCAATTTCTTCAACTAGATTTTAATTTTATCATGGAAATTACATTATAATGTTTTAATGGCCATAAAGATTGAAAAAATATACAAATTTTTTTTGCAAAATGGCTCTTATCGATTTTAATTATTTTTAAGTAATTATATTTCAATAAGCAAATCAATTAGTAGAAAGAGTTTAATCTATTTATGCAGCATTGGTCTTAAAGAATTAATATATGCTTGATTAGGCATCTTAAGTTGTAACATGTGATATCTTTTGAGTATTGCTTTGGGAAGGTACTTTAAGGTAGAAAAAGATTTATTGAAAATAGATTAATTATTTTAAAAAAAAAGTTTTTAAAATTAAACTATTTTATGAGTTAAAGCTGTATGTCTAAACAAAAGCATAAACCTTGCATTCACCATAATCAAATTACCTGATAAAAAATGGCTTAGAAATGTTCTATTTACACTAAATGAATAGAGTTCGATTTTCATCGCTACTTAGGTGTAAACAAAGTAGTGGGCTTGACATATGATGATGCAGTGTAGAATATGATCTAATAAAAGCTTATTAAAATTTTTCGATACTACCTTAGAAAGAAAAAAATCTATGAAGTTCTTTCAAAGAATACATTGGCAATTGGAAGCAAAGAAAGTAAAAATAACCAAATAAAAATTAAATAATGTGAAAACTAGACCTATTAGAAAAAAAGAAAAGTCAGATAGAATTGAATAAAGAATAATAGTAATTCAAGATAAAATTTAGGAAATTGCTTAGCCATATTAATTAATATAGTAAGATATAGTAAAGATCAATATTCAAAAAATTATAAAAATAATGATACATAATCAATTAATATTCATTATATTACTTGATTTTTAGCTATCGGCATTGTGGCATTAAATGAAATAATAATAAAAATGGTGGATATTTAGAAGATAACAAATATTTTGATTGTTAAATCAGATTGAAAAAGTTTGGAATAACTTAAAGAGATTTCTACACTAGTCCATTAATGAAATTAATGAATAGACCAATCAAAATTACTACCTTTCAATGATTCATTATATATATTTCCTATTATTCAAAATATATATTGTCTCAATCAAAAAAAACACAAATATTTTTTTCTTTTGTAATAATAAATCCCAGCAAACTTCAAATTATACTTATCGAATTCAGATGAGTATGGCAACATCTTCTCTTTTATAAGTCTAATGCAACATTTAATACTTAAAGAATTTATTCTTTAAGAAATGAGTTGCCACTAATTTACTTGAATCCGATTCTTTTAAGAAAATTCACCATCAATTTTTTAAATATTTTTTGGATGTAAAATTTAAAGAAAATATTATTATTTAAACATAATTTCCAATATTTATTTTCGAGCTATATAATAAGGAATCAATATAATAATGATTATAACTATTCTAATCAAAATTCATTTTAGATCGAATATATAATAGAAAAATTATAATGCACAATCTGATCTATAACATCTTCGAATAATGAATAAGATTATGATTATAAATGAGAAAATAAGCTTATGAAAACATTTTTAGGCTCTTTTGATATAAATCATATTTATTTTTTTCTGTATCCATTTGAAATGACTTAAGCATTTTGAATTTTCTTGATTTTAACTAACCATCTTAACAAGATTATAAATTCAATTAAAATGTTTTCTATTTTAGTTGAAAAACATTTAAATATTTAATATGAAAATTATATTATATTATAAATTTCGAACAGAATTGAATAGTAATTTAATGTTTCCGAATTTATCAAATCTAATTATTTATAAGCAAATTAAAATCAAATCATATAAGCATTATATTAATTCAAAATAAATGAAATCAAAGCAACTTCATATGAATTAAAGAAACCAACAGTAATTTCCAATACAACAACAATAAATTTAACAATAAAATTTATTTTATGATGAGGACAAATCTTTAAATGTTCAACTTTTAAGAACATTGAAACAACCTCCACATTCAATTCGTCAAAACAATATAGATATCAACTTTCATTTAAATTAATTAAAAAAAAACCCTTTCCAGAATAGCAATCAACAAAAAGTTAATCATTTTAAAATAGGTCATCGTTAAATAAAATAATCTTAATAATCAGCATCGTTAGTAAGAAGAGATATGAATAATAATAATAATAATAATACTAATCAATTAATTGAATAAATTAAGAATCAATACTATTCTCCACAATAATAAAATGTACAAATTACACCTTATAAATTGATTTAATAATCTCATAATAATTAAATGAGCTAATTTTCTAGAAATATTAATAACAACTATATCCAATTAGATTAGTTTATTCCACAAAATAGAGACTAATCTCCTTAACTAGATTTTAATTAATTATTTTCTAGAACAAATTAAAATTTATTTAGATACTCTGAATTAAGAAAAAGAAAGTAATAATTATTAGAGGAAATATAAATCAAAACTGAAACTATTTTTGATAATGATGAGTATATAGCACCATAAGAAAATTAAATTAATAAAAATTTATCAAATAATGATTTATCATCTAAAGTATCTTTTGAAATAAAATGTCTTCAAAAAACTTGTAAATTAAAAAATGAAGAATCATAATAATTACCTGCAATGATTAGTATTAAAACTTAAGAAATAGATTCTATTGAAACAGAAAGGAGAGTTGGAGTGGATTTGGTATTTATATTTAATTAACAATAGATTTGTCTAATAGATAGAAGTGGAAGTATGGTAAGATAAAAAATAAATATGGTTTAATAAACATTACTAATTTTGCTTAACTTTTTAAGTGATTAAGATAGACTTCAATTGATAATTTTTAATGAAAGTGCTGAATAATTGACCCCATTAAAATGTGTTACAGAATAAAATAAAGAATACTTCAAATCAATTATTAATTCAATTACAGCTTAAGGATTGACAAGAATATCAGCAGCTACAAATCTAGCATTTTAATAATTAAACAATAGGAAATATAAGAATAATGTGAGTTCAATATTTTTATTATCTGATGGACATGATTCTTAAGCAGCTTATGATGTGGAAAAATAAATTAATATTGTAAAGGATCCATTTACTTTGCATACTTTTGGATTTGGAGATAGACATGATGCAAAATTAATGACATCTATTTGTAATTTAAAAAATGGAAGTTTTTATTTTGTTCAAGATATCACATTATTGGATGAATTTTTTGTTGATGCTTTAGGAGGTCTGATTTCTGTTATTGGAGAAGATGTAAAAATTTAAGTTTTATCCAATCCAGATTAACCATATTAAGATATAAAAATATCAAAAACTTATGGAAATATGTGGAAATAAAATAATGAATCTTATGAAATTCATTTTCCTTAATTAATTTCAGGAACAAGAAAAGATTTTGTTTTTGAAATCCAAATTCCATAATTTATGAATAATATAAACAATTAATAGGTAAAAATTATAGATGCTAAACTAACAATAAAAAATCCATTAAATGGAGAAATCATTGAAAAATTAGCAAATCTATCCTTAACCTTTTACAATCCAGATTAAGAAATGATATAAATTGATACAGATCCTGATGTTTAGACATAATATTTTAGAGTTAAAGGAACAGAGGCTATAGATGATGCTCGAAAAGCATGTGAATAAAATAAATTCGAAGATGCTTAAGCTCGAATAAATCATATTTTGATACAAATATAATAAAATAAAATCGCTAACTCTCTGTGTGCTGGAATCATTTAAGATCTAGATTAAGCTAAATAAGCATCAATGATCACCTCATATAAAACATTTGGTTAAAAGTAAATGTATTAAATGGTTACAAACAATTATCTACAAGGAGGTATCAATTCAATTTTCACAGCAAATGGAAAATAATTATAATAAAAATAACCAGCTCATTATTAAAATAGAATTTAATAGATAATGATGAGTAAAGTTTAAAATCAAAAGTCAAGATAGCATTATTGAAACTATTAATTTTTATCTTATAAATTAATAATCTTAAAGATATTATATTCGATTGTTTTATAAATAAATAGTAATTTTAATTTCAATACTATTTTTTAAGAAATTTCATATATATCATAATATTAAATGTTTGATTATATAGTTATTTGATCTTTTTGTTAAACTTAAAAATGTTATTATTCTATATAATACAAAAATATATACTTTAATATAAATAAATTGTAAACAGAATATAGTATATACTAATTTACCGATTCAATTTAACTTAAGTTTGATATAAATTTAACTACGTATGATATAAAATATTATTTAAAAATTAAATAATGTGATGAAAGATAGCATTCCTAAAAATCGGATTTGTAAGTCTATAATATAGGGAATGCTCCTAAAATTTGTAAATTCTTAAGATTTTATATCAATTAAAAATCTCAATTTTAAATCTATTATTTATTAATTTATAATTTTTGATAATTAATAATCTTCACCATTATTCATCAGGCGAATCTATTTATTCAAAAAACATAGCTTATTAACATTATTTTTTTTTTTGAATTAAATGTAAGTCTCTTTAAATTTTTACATAATTTTAAAGGTGTTCCTATTTTGACAAATATTTTACTTCCTTTTAATCCTCTAAAACAAAATGTTTATTATTTATATACTTTTTTAGTAACTAGATTTCTTTATCTAATCAACTTTTTTTTTTACTTTCTTCTAATCTTCTTCCTTTAATCCATGTATATTAACTATATCTAAATCTTAATTTCTATCTCCCTTTATTGAATTAAGACAATTCAAGTGATACCATAATTTCTTGTCAAAATTTAATCCAGGTTGTCTAGCTAAAACATGGCCTATTCTGATTTCATCTTTAATTATCTGTTAAAGACAATTCTAACATTTAACTCTATTAGAAAGAGCATAACCTACTTCAATATATTATTTCATTATAAAAATCAAATCCAAAATTTCTTATTCAATTTTTTTAAATCAAAAAAAATCATTTCAATATTTTCCCTTTAATATATGTTCCTATTTACTTAGAGACTTTAATATAAAATTTATATAATTATTCTAAGATAATATATACTTCATCTTATTGATTTTAAATAATTAGTTTCACTTGGTATTGTAATATAAAATTGATAAGACAATGTTCATTTTTTTCAATTTATCATATACGTAAATGTAATACATTAAAAATTTATAATCTATAAAATAAACTAATTAAGTCTTTATATTTTAATTAGAATCCTATATAAGTATCAAGTCTAAGGACTCTTATCTATTTCAATACATAAGTACTGTCAACAAAAATATTATCATCAAATCTCAAATATTTGTCTAATGAAGTAGTTTACATAGTAATTATGAATTTGGCTTTTTTTAATAATTGAACATAAAATTTAATTTATTTTGTTTGTTATATTATTAAATTATTATAAAATAATTTAAATTTTTATGATTCTAAACTATTTAATGTTATTTAAACTGATTATCTTTTAATTACAAAACAAGAATTTAAATTTATAAAATTCATAGAGTTGAGGAATATCAATAAAAATTTTAGAAGAAATTTAGTCAGATTTTTTTAATTCAAAAAAATTCTAAAAACAAATTTTGTTTAATTGTTATTAATAATTGCTTTAATTTAGATATTTATAAAGTTTTCAATTTTTACAAAACATTTTAAAACATAGGAAGTAAAGATCCAAAGTATTGCAGTGGATATGATTCTTGCTCGAAGAGGAGGTATGAGAGCTAATGAAAGTAAACAATAATTTATTTAATATAATGTTAACAATCTAGAGTAAATAAACATTTCAAAAAAGATCCAATTAATACAAAGAATTACTAAAAGATTTGGAAAAGAAAATTAAATCCTAACGTAAAAAAATATTTATAGAATAAAAATCAATAGTAAAATAATAATTTTACATCTTAAAAAAAAACACAAATTGTAATCAGAAATCACAAGCAAATTTATTAATATGAGTTTTTTAATAAATTTAATAAATATACTAAAATAATTTTTATTGTGAAAAATATCAAAGTGGGTTACATTCGATTTTCACCAATATTTTTAAAATTAATAAAAACCAAATATCTTTATTTTCATTATTAAAAAATTTCATTTTATATTAACCAAATGTGTCTGTCAATCTTCTTTCTAGAATTATAATATAGATATTTATTACAAATAATGATAGAATAAAGGTCTTTGATTATCAATACTTAAATAATTCATTAATTTTTGGCTTTATCCTAACAATATTTTAGCAAAATAAGGGAAGAAAATTATTGTTTAGAAAACAAAAAAATGAATTTGATAAACCTCCAATTCAATTCCTGTCTAAGAAAATTGATGATCATCCATGTTTGTAATAATTATAATACAAAAATGGATGATCAGATCTAACCTGTTAAATCTTTAAACATTTTCATACTACCATAAAATTTTTTATTAATAAAGAGCAAAACTATCCAAGACAAAAGACTTGTTATTTGCAATTCTAACATTTGCCAATCCAACACCAAAATAAAGTATTATTAGTAATTATTTCAAAAAGTGAAACAATGAAAAAGCATTTTATTATTTCATCATTATATAGATGATAGAAAAGTTTATTGAATTCAAACAATTTAGCAGCAAATAAAGTATATTTTTACAATAAGGTATAGTTTTGGCTATAAGAATTACATATTACTGTATGTAATTTTTTATCATTTAAAGTTGATATAACCATTTTAACATAATTTCCAGAACCTTCAGTGTTTATTATTATATTTTAAATAATAATTCAAGTGATAATATTATGAAATATAATTCTATTATTATTCTAAAAATGAAAAAAAAGACAAAACATAATTATGCACTTAGAACTAATAAATCAAGTTCGGAATTAAAAGTAACTATAATATTATTCCTGAACTAAATCAAAAATAAGATAATGTATTTATAATTTAAATAAGAATTAAATTTTTAAATTTGAAAGACTATAACCAGAAATTATCTATCAAATTAGCTAATTTTTAAAATTTGGTTAATATTTCTAACTGCGACTAATTAATAGATTTTTGAATCAGAAAATTTTTAGTATTTCAACATTAAAGTGATTAATATCAATTCTCAAATATAAGATTTTATGATTAAATAAAAAGCCAAGAAGATTATTAAGAATAAGAAACTGAATTTAAACGTAGCTTTCTCAAAAAACCATATAAGTTAAAAGAAGTTTTGCAAGATAATAATCCACCTTAAGCAATATAATAGATCTTTAATAACATAGTATTAATTATAAAAAATTATACCTATATTAGAAATCTTAGCTGAATAAGTTTAAAATATATTTGAAGCTAGTGTTATTATTTGTGCAATTATTTAATTAATTATTTAAGCTTAAATTTGTTCATTCTATAAGAAACTATAAAACGAGAAATAAAGAAAAATATTCAAATAAACAAGCATATTTAAATAAACTAATAGGTCTAAATAATAATTGAAATAAATATTTACAGAAAATAAAATAAAAAAATAATTAATCTTTTTATTCTATATTTGGTTTATGCAGTCTATTTTCTTTAAACACTTATTGAGCTAATTACTATCTATAAGTTTTTATTTTGTAAAAGATCTTAAATATTTTATTCTTGAAAATTTAGATGATCGAACTATTCCACTTTAATAATAATTAAAATAATATTTATAATAAAAGACATATTTATAATTATTATTCTAATACGTCTTCTCATTATTAAAAATTAAAATCTTATGAAATATTAAAAAATCATCGTTCATTAAAGAATAATTAATACATATATTACAAATATTATCTATCATATTTAGAATATTTTATTAAAATATTTGAAGTCTTAGTTTTAAATATATTTATCCCAATATCAAAATATAAGATATTTGTAATTTTAGTATTTATTTTTAGTGAAATCATTTCTGCTTTTTTAATTTCTAGTTGATGTAAGAAGATATTGCAGTAAGATTATCGATTACTTTTATATTTTATATTATTAGGAGTAAAGATTATTTTTTTAGTATCAAGGTGATTGGCATTTTAATGCTTATTATTTTATTTAGAATATGATAGCTATTTTTATATTATTATCAATATAATTTTGTGTTAGTTTATTATATCAAAAAATTTGGTACGATATAAATTTAATAGAAGTCTGAAAATGTTATTCAAATTTAAGAAAAAGTAAATTTCAATCTTAATATATTTTTCAATATTATTGAAAAAACACATAATTTTAATATCATTATTATTATTTATTTCATTTAGATTTTAAAATAATTTATATGTTAATTTTTTAAGTTTTGAATTCGATTTCACTTCCTTAATTTCTCAAAAACTAAAATTTTCAATTTTATCTTGTTATAAAAGTATGGAAAATGGGAAACCAATTAATAATTATAATTTAGTTATATCCTCCTATTCTACATTTATTTCCTGAATGCTTCATTTAGTTCTTTTTATTCTATTCAATAAATTGATGAGATTTTTTTAGAAATTGAATTTAGCAGTTATTCTTTTCTATGCATTTCATATTAAAATAATCAATTGAACACAATGGGTTTCATTAAAATTTCTAACCTTTATGTACATTGCATTAAAGAAAAAGATTACAAGGCAAGAGAGTATTTCAAAAGCCTGAAATTTTATAAAGAGATAATTATATGAAGAAGAATAAGAATTATTCTCCTATGAGCATTTTAAAATAGAGCCTTATTATTTAAGGGATCATAGAAGTAAAATTAATTTAGGATAAAATCTAATTCATAATTGATATTTAAGGAGATAATACTAATCTTAATAAATATCTATTTAAATTTAATAAAGAAAAAGTTTGAAAAGTTTTATGAGAAAAATAACAGGGAGAAAACAAAGACAATAAGAAAAAATCGTATAATGTGTAAAGGAGGTTTCAAATGAATTTGAGGACTGTGATTAAAAAAACAAATTATATTCATGTTGTATTAAAAGTTAGGGCCATTTTCCCTAGACTTAATTATAAGAATGACCATGACATACATAAAAATTCTTATAGCTACTTGTGATCTTAAAAGACATTAAATGTTAACCACAAACTCTTTTGGATCTAATTAGTTCCTTCTTTCTTTTAAATGAAGAATTATGTAATTGAAAAAAAATTTTAGCCATTCTATAAAATAGCCAGATTAATCAAAAGATAGACTTTAGGAACATTATTATAATGTTTAGAAAAAAAAATAATATATTTTCAACAAAAATCAACTTTTATGAAATCAATTGAGGTGAACTTTAGCAGTGAATCGAAAAGATCAATATTAAAGATTATTTATTTATTTTATTAATATTATATTATCTCTCTCTCTTTGATACTGTGTTTAAAATGATAAAGTAAAGTACTTAAGAAAATACATAATATCTTGTTTAAAATAATCGACACTTTATTATACCTTACATATTTCTTCAATGTAATCAATAAAAAAGTCCTGAAATTTTTTTATTATATATAGTTATGAAAATTTCATAAAATATTCAATACTTAACGGCGTCTTATTGAATTTTTAATTAGCTTTCTAAAAAAAAACTACCCTTTTATTTCAATAACTATTGTAAATCTATACCTTAATGAGTTATAAATTCACTATTTTAGATTTTCGCTCCTTTGACTTATAAAGTCGGGTATTAAGAGATGAGTAGAATTGTGACTATTGAATCAACTATTAAAATAAAAGAAATCTTTACAGTCTTAGTCTAAAAATGATTTATTTTGATAGGGTGTTAAAGAGTTAGTATGAATATCTGATTAAATCTTATCAGAAAATTCAATTTGCTTTTCTAATTTAACATCCCCTTAACAGATGGACTTAGATATTCTGCTTCCTATTTTAACCTTCCATAAACGGATTGATTAATCTGCACTGCAAGATGCTAATATAGCACCATCAGGTGAGAATTATACTGAAATAACCCGATTAAAATGACCATCTAATTTAGATTTTTGTTGTCCTGTTTTAACATCCCATAAACGGATGGTGTTATCTGAACTACTAGATGCTAAGACAGTGCCATCAGGGGAGAAGCATACTGATTGGACTTAATGATTATGACCCTTTAATTTAAATAATGTTTTTCCTATCTTAACATCCCATAAATGGATGTAGTTATCTCCACTACCAGAAGCCAAAATACTACCATCCGGAGAAAAGCAAACAGAATTCACCTAATAAAAATGACCATTTAAAATATATGTTTGTAATCCTTTTTTCACATCCCATAAACGGATAGAGTTATCTCTACTACCTGATGCTAATGTATCACCATCAGGTGAAAAACATAAAGAACTAACCCAGTCAGTATGACCATCTAACTTAGATTTTTGTTATCCAGTCTTTATATTCCATAAACGGATTGAGTTATCGCAACCACCAGATGCTAATGCATTACTATCGGATGAGAAACATACTATTAAAACCTCTTTATGATGACCTTTTAATATAAAATTTTGATGTCCTGTCTAAGCATCCCATAATCGAATAGATTTATCTCCACTTCCAGATGCTAATGCTGTACCATCAGGCGAAAAACTTACTGAATTAACCCAATCAGTATGGCCATCTAATTTAAATGTTTGTTATCCAGTCTTTATATTCCATAAACGGATAGAGTTATCTCTACTACCAGACGCTAAAGTAGTACCATCCGGTTTGAAACATACTGAACTAACCCACTTTTTATGACTATCTAAATTAGATTTTTGAAGTCCTGTCTTAACATCCCATAATCGAATAGATTTATCTCCACTTCCAGATGCTAATGCTGTACCATCAGATGAAAAACTTACTGAATTAACCCAGTCAGTATGACCATCTAATTTAGATTTGTGAAGTCCTGTTTTAACATCCCAAATACGAATAGAATTATCCTTACTACAAGATGCTAATGTATTACCATCAGGTGAAAAACATACTTAATTGACCCAATCAATATGTCCATCTAATTTAAAAATTTACTGTCCTGCTTTAATATTCCATATACGAATAGACCAATCAAAACTGCCCGATGCTATAGTAGTTCCATCAGGAGAGAAACATACTGAATGTACAATATTACAATGGCCTTCTAATTTAAATTTTTATTCTTCTAAATTAGCATCCCATATACGAATAGACTTATCTACGCTACCATATGCTAATGTAGTTCCATCAGGGGAAAAACATACTGAATATATAGTTCCATTACGACCTAGAAATTTATATTTTAGTTTTCTTAACTTAATATCCCATAAACAGATACATTAATCAAAACTACTAGATGCTAATGTAGTATTATCAGGAGAGAAATTTATTGATTAAACACAACCATTATGACCTTTTAATTTAAATAATTTTCTTCCTGTCTTAACATTCCATAAACGGATAGTTTTATCTTCGCCACCACAGGATGCTAATATAGTGCAATTATGTGAGAAACAAATTTTTGTAATACTATTATGACCTTTTAATTGAGATATTTTTTTTCCTCTCTTAACATTCCACAAACAGATTGATCTATCAAAACCACAAGATGCTAATATATTTTCATCAGGTGAGAAGCATACATTAAAGATACTACCTTTATGACCATCTAATTTGGATAGCTCATGTGTTTTTAAATTATTCCATTTACAATCGAAGAGTAAAGCCTTATTTAGATTAATTCCACTTATATCAACATTTTCAAATTTTGATCCTCTAAAATCAGATTTAAAAAAATTGGCTCCAATCAAAGAAGTATTTTGAATTTTAATATTTTCAAAACATTATTTCCTCAAATCAACATTCATATTAGCTAATAAATTAAGCGAATTTGATCCACATTATATGAATTTATCATCAAAAGCTGTAAGGCGAACTAGAAATTTTAAAAATTCAACTACTCCTTTTTCTTCTGATATTTTTTGAATAAGAACCTCTCGTATGTTAGTGTAGATTTTTTTGGAATAATTATTTTTATTAAAGTCATGTTTAATGATATTTTTGATAATGTTAATAAGTTTCTTTATGTTATTTTCTAATGCATTTAACTACTATTGTTTATCAAAATGTTCTAAATTAGGAACCAAAACAGTATATAATTCTTAATTAAATTAATTCTCATCTTTTTCAAGGAATTCTATACAATCTGAAATTTTCTATCTTTTCAATCTTTCTAGTATCACACAATATATATTTTTATCAATATCTTTCGATTAGGCTAATATTTCATACAATTCTTCCTCCTACATTATTAAAAAATAAAAATTAAATAAATTAATTAAAAATTATTATAAGTATTTTAGAATTGTATGAGGGTAAATATAATGCTTTCTTCAACCTAGTAAGCTATCTTTTTAAGTTATACTTTTTTCTTTATAAATATTGTAAAAAAATAATTTCCTTTATATACAAGATCTAAAGACTACCTTCTATATATAATCAATAAGTAATTCAAACTATACTCATAGTATATTAGTAGTCTAATGGTATTTTTTCCTTTCAGAAGATATTAATTACCATTAACAAAAATATTTGTCAGAAAAATAGTTAAAAAAAATTCATTATTGAATTCAAGTATCTATAAATATACCAGAGTTTACACCATTTTTAAATATTGATACATGACTTTTTTAAACTATAAGTTATAAATCTGTATCTGCTTTAAAATCACATTAACTCAAGATTATCTCTGCAATATTTTAATTATATTGTTCGCTAAATATAAAGGAGTTTTACAGATCTCTCGCAGTATTTAAATATATAATTATTCAATCAAAAGGGATATTATATTATTTCACCTTATTTAGCATGGAAACATTAAATGGTTATGAAATATTGATTGAAATATATTTTTTTAGAATACTAATTACAACACTACAAATAAAAGATAATTTTTATTTGTTACGATATAAATTGATATGTATATAATTTGATTCCAAAATAAAAATTAATTTTATTAATATTGAAAGTATACTAATGAGTTTATTCTATTATTTATCTCCTTAATTTCATAAATTAAATTAAAAAATTGCCTTTTTGTATTAGTGGATTTTTTACATTCAAGTTTTAAAGTTTTGTACAGAAATTAAGTTTTTTGATGGAATATAAAAAAATGTCCTTCTTAATATTTAAATTAAATCATTACCTAGTTAAAG